CAGCATTCTAGTCTTCTGAGCTTTAACCAGAATCTCCAATTAAGTACAGTTTAAGGCATAGCAGGACTATATCTTCAGCCAGCAGCTCCAAATTTTTCCAAACTTTTCCTACAATCCAGTTCCAAAGGCTCCTGAACCACATGATCAGGTACAGTCACAGCAGTGACTCTACTCTTGGTCCCAAAGTTTGTCTTAGTTACTTTTCTCATTGCTGAGACAAAATACCTGACACCCAAAGTTTAAAAAGGAAAAGTTTATTTCAGCTCACTGTTTGTAGAAGTTTCCATCCATAGTTGACTGGCTCCAAAGCAGGGTGACATGGCAGAGGGGCATCACAGAGGAGAAATAGTTCATAGCATGGCAGAAGGCAGCAAAGCTGTGAAGTAGCAAAGCAGCAGCAGCAGTAAGCAACAAGCAGTGGCCCTCTGTCTGTTCCTTATAGTCTATTCAGGCTACACACCCTTAGCATGGGTAACACTCATATCCAGGATGAGGCATGCTTAATCCTAGCTTCCCACTATGAATCAATGCCAACATCACATCCTCACTCCTAGCATCATACACCCTAGTTCCAGCCACCTCCAAAAAGCCTCACTTATGACCACATGAGAGTTTGGGGGGTTGTCTAGATACAAGCTGTAACAACCATACAGGGTCTCAGCAATCCAGAAGGAGGCTCTGGTCCAACTCCCCTTGCCTGACAAGGGGACCAGCACAGCTTCACCAATCACAGGTTCCATTGATCAATAGCAGGTCCAAAGCACCCAGGGATCACACTGAATCTGCTCCCTGCCTCAGAAACCAGCAAAGACCCAGGGACCAGCAGGGAGAGCCAGAGCCCCTTGCCTTGAGCCATGACATCGCACAGGCCCCATGTATGCAGCTATCATTGTGAGGAGGAAGAGCAGGAGGGGAGAAACGGCCCTGGCAGGGAGGTGGACTTTAAATTCACTCAGTATTACTTAGAAGAGACTTTTTAATCTGAACAAGATTACTGTGGCCTAAAGTAAAAGAACATGAGAGACCTTCACCTGAAAGCCCAAGTGTTGCTATTACCTGGCTACTCAGGGAAACTGAAATGGGAACTATTACATAAAACAGAAGAGCCCATATTCATTTTCAGAACTGGGTGCCTATTTTGGTTTTGTTATTAGTGAGGAGACGGCCAACCCTTCTCCTGATATTTCTCAGCAGGGTAGTTCAGTGACGAGAACTCTGGGCCTCCTCTGCTCCTCTGTTCTCTCCATTCTGGAGAGAGAGGTAGGGGAGGGAGAGAGAGAGAGATGGAGGGAGAGAGATGGAGGGAGAGAGATGGAGGGAGAGAGATGGAGGGAGGGAGAGAGAGAGAGGGAGAGAGAGAGAGAGAGAGAGAGAGA